ATATGTTTTATAATTATATTATATTCGGAATCCGGTCAGAAAATTGGTGCGCGATACTTTCATAACCGCCAATTAACCAGCACCGCGCCCGTTATTTAGTATGGCCAATATTCACATACCAGGTGTATCACTATTCGTCATACCAGGGCATCATTGCCTGATGAATACTGCATGCTATATACCTGAACACAGCGGTCGTGTGCCGTATTCGTCATGGCCGCTTACGGAATATGTTTCGACATTTACTTGCGCAGATTAAGGTCTATGTCCCCCTGACCTCTGTTTGACCTGGCTCGTTTAGCTATTTCTGACTAATATATATATATATATATATATATATAATATAATATATATAGGGTTAGGGTTAGGGTTAGGGTTAGTCAGAAATAGCTAAATGAGCCAGGTCAAACAGAGGTCAGGGGGACATAGACCCTACGAGCTTTACTAGCAGTGTGTATCATCGCGGGAAGGATGTCAAGCGAATCATGGGCTAGTGCCAGCCGGTAGAAACTTATTTTATAACCAGTTTCATTTATCGCTAGATAAATGTTGGCCTTTTGTCGCTCTTCATCTATATCGCACTGTCTGTGTTTCTCGTTGAACTTTATTCGGATTTATGTGTTCGGAAAACAGGGCGATGATTGTGTGAGTGTGTTGTGTGTGTGCGTGCGTCCGCGCGCGCGTGTGGTGTCTGTATATTACATTATATGTAATGCGAGCAGTGTTAGCATCTTGGCGTGGTGCGTGCAGCCGTCCATGCATCTCTCTCGGTCTACTGGTTTGTAGAGTGGCACGTACTGCAAATATTGTAAAGCACGAGAAATGCGAATTGCGTCGTAAACTGTCATGTCGATTTATACCGAATGTGTGTAGGATCCCGTACTTACTGGAGTGGAGCAAATTGAAATTGGAAGATAGGCCAATGAAATCGTTTAGATAGTTAATATTTGACGTCTAACGCTAGAAATTACTCACGAACTTTTTAAGTGAACACGGTCGCAGTCCCAGACCAGTTGCTCGCATGCAGTACATAGAGACACTCGTCGCTGTAGTTTTATTTTCGTGCTATGTTAAGTGCGAGGTAAACTGTTTTGAATTCCACTACAATTATCTATGCACACAGCGTCCAGCGCATGCGTTGACTCCGTTAGTGCGGTCATGGATCCGGGGAAATGTAGACGCAGAAGAATTTAACTCCCTTCCCCGAACTTCTGAAACTTCCCCGAGGAATTCAAACGCATATATGCACTTCGCGACTATCATTCTTGTAGATGATGGCGACTGCCACGCAAAAGATAAAGGTCTGTCGTTGCGTAGTATAAGACGACGCTATAGCCGCTTCTGCTGCTGTTGCTGCGACAATCAATACAGGGCACTCAGAGCTACTAAAGACGGTGATAACCCCGAGGGTATGTATAACGTATGTACGGTATGGAATGGAGGGGGGTGTCGGTACCCAGCTGTTTGTTAATGAATGCGTGCGTGCGCGTTCTCCGAGGAATTAATCCGTGCGCGTTTGTGTGAATATAGATGTTTTTCTTGCAGATCTATGCACCGAGGATAGATCCGCTTAGGTCGTATGCATGCGGAAACTCGCATGTTCGTAATTCTTAGCTCTGTATAGAGCGGCCGATAGATCAGATATCTTCAATGCCACTCTAGGGCGGAGACAGACACGATGGGGGAGGGGGGGAGGGGGGGGGATTAAGTCATGGCTAGAGTTGTGACTAGATTAGGGTTAGGGTTAGGGTTAGGGTTAGGGTTAGGGTTGGGGTTAGGTTCAGGGTCGAGTTTATGGTCATGGTTATTGTTATGATTAGGGATATGGATAGGGTTAGGGTTAGGGTTAGTATTATGGCTAGTGTTAAGATTAAGATTAAGGTTAGAGTTAAAGCTATAGTTATACTTGTGGTTAGTGTAGGACCAGCAGTAAATATAGGGGTAGGGTGTGCGTGCGTGTGTGCGCGTGTGCGTGTGAGTGCACGCGCGTATGTGTAGGGGAATAAAGTAGATGGTCGTATATAACACCACTGCTGTGGCCATAAAGATTTAGAATACATGGGCGCACGCGCGGTGGTCCCGGTGATGAAACGCCTGACACATGTCAGATGTGGGTCGGTCGATGTTTAATTAACGTCAGTTTGCACGTATCAGTCGATTTCCCCGTACAAAGAAATACTGAGTTATATGTATATATATAAATATATGAGAGCGAAAGAGAGAAAGAAAAGTGTGTGTGTGTGTGTGTGTGTGTGTGTGTGTGTGTGTGTGTGTGTGTGTGTGTGTGTGTATGTGTGTGTATGTGTGTGTATGTGTGTGTGTGAGTATAGAGCAGGATTGAAGTGATGA